GATCCGATTTATTAAAATATTTATAGATACGAGACCGTACGCTATTGTCGAGGACGTTGACGTACACGTCGTTTTTTTTTTTGATTTTTTTTTTTTTTTTGGTTTTCGGCGCGTTTTTCGTGCGCGTAACGTTGCGCGCAAGCCGCTGAACGGTTTTCGAACGGCAGGTACGCGCCGCGTTCATATGTGTGTAAACGTTGAAGTAGTCTTAGCGTATTTTTTCTTTTTTTTTTTTTCCTCTTCTCCCGATAATTATACGGCGGAATCGTTATACGTTTCGGGACGGAACGCTGAAAACGAAGTTTTCAATATTTTATTTAATTTACCACTGTACCGCTGTTGTAATTATTAAAGTTTTATTTTTATTTTTTTTTTTGTACGGAAAAAAATAAAATAATAACAACGTTTTAACTGCACGGTTAGTGTGTTAAAAGTGTTGGTTATTCTAACGATTATTTTTACGGTTTGTCTGGGTTTATCGTAATAACAACGCGCTGTGGGAAATCCGTTTATTTCTTTTTTTTTTTTTTATACCACGCACACACGTACCTACTCGGTCCCGGCCGTATAGTTAACACGACACAGATTCGTTCGATTATTTTAATTTTAAAGTTTACGTTAACGTTCGGAATGTGTATTAATATTGAATAATTGCTTTGAATTTCAACATCTGGTCGTCTGAAGAACAAAAAAAAAGTCTCCGCCGTACGCAGCATACGTTTGAAGTGATCGACTTGGCCAATGTCTACGGTTATGAATCACTCAACTCCTATTCACTAATTATTTTCCGTCTCATGTGCAAAATGTTAATTTTATACAGTTTTTTTTTTTTTATTTGTTATATTGTAGTTTTAAATTTTAATATACGTCTAAGGGACAATTTTTTTTTAAATTGCAATAAAAAAATCTGCGCTCGATGAGAAGTGAATTTATTTATGGCGGCCAGCTACCTATGGAGCGGCAGACCGTGATTTCCGAGGTTACCATTTTGTATGCATTTTATACCGAGAAAATATTATTTAATTGATAGTATATAGAGTGATTCATATAGTACATGAAACGTAAAAAAATATACTGTGAGACGTTCGACGATTATTCGAAACACGAGTGTTGTAGCTGTACGTATTAGCTATACGTAACAGCTACGGGTTAAGAACGGTGAATGCTTAACGAAATGGCTAACGAAATAATAAAACGACCAATGAAGACCAATTATTAATATTTAGACGATTGCACATAGTAATTTTCAATAAATATTTAAATATTATCAGGGGATCATTTTGATTTGTTAACTATAACGATATTAATAAGTAGTATAACACTGACATAACCCTCCGTCCGATCCGACAATAAGACAATTGTTATGGCCAAAATATCGACTGCGTGTATTCGTTTATATTTATTATAATCGAACAAGCATTCTTCGAGTAAAGCGTCAAAATCAAAACCCAAATAAACAGAAAAAAATACCCTCATTTAGAATTTTAAATGTGTATTATTAATATCAAATATTTTCGTTTCAATCACCACGTCCGGTCTCAGGAACCTGCTTATTATTGTAAGAAATATTTAATTAATGCTATTGAACGATAATATTACCAATAACGCTAGACGATAAGACATAATAAAAAACGATTTTTACGTTTGTTTGCGTTAAATGATCACAATGTTAAATGTATTGTGATCGATCGAAAAATATGTAAAAAAAAACTTTTCTGTTTAAACACAACATCCATAAAAAATTACCGACTAGTTACGTTGCTAAGTGGATGTTGCACAATTATAACGGTCCAAATAAAACGAAAATTTGATTTTTGATCGCACGCATGTAATGTTATAATAGCTTATTTCAATGTTCCCAAAAATATCCTGGACATCGGTTATAATTTATAGATAAAAAAAAAAAAAACAATCGCGCTATTTATGCATATTACATAGCGATGCAGTTGCATGCATGCGTTCAACGCATTATATTTATATTTACACATAAATATAATAATAGTATTCAATCTAACAATAAAATAATATTTTCATCAGGCAACGCGGTGTATTTAATTTTTTTTTTTATTTCTACAATAACTTAGTAAAAATAGGCGATGATAAGTTTTCACGTTTGAAGCAAGTTCTCCCTAGGTTTTTGTCATTAGTGTGCGATACTTATTCACGGGCTTTTAAACGAAAAACAATTGTATCCATGTAAGCCCTTATTTTTGGAATTTGAAATCGGAAAACAAAATCCTTCGTATCCTTCGAATCAAATAATTTGTACGGTTCCTCTTGAAAACCTGGCAACCTTGTGTTCGCATTGAGTAACATTTTTACCATTGTTCGACGATGGAAAAAAAAATTGTTTAATCTAACACTTTTGATTTCAAGATTTTTACATATATTTTTTTTTCTACTCCATCCAATTGTGATTGTATATTAAATAAAAGTCATGATTACCTCTATACACGTATTTTGAAAACTAAACTATTATAATACGCTTTCGAGGGCTGCACTTGGAAACGTTTGAAAACAATTGCGAAAAAATAAATAAAAATAAGGAATATGTTTTGTATTATTCTGTTCGTTAATATACATACACTGCAGCTATCGAAACATACGACTTTATTTCGTAAGACTTATCTTCCAAGTTGAAATTTATGTATGAGAAAAAAGGGTAAAAACATAATCGTCTATCCGCGATATGCGTGCACAGCACATTGTACGTAATTTTAATGGAATGTAGAATTGGTGTATTTAACTGAGAGAGCAAATTATAATAATCCGATTAGATTTTAAGTACATATATATGTTTGGACTATATTATTAATTTTATGAACAAAAAATAATGAATTGGACGAAAATTAAGTTTTTTAAACAACTTGTGTTTACATTTTTTTTTAAGTTTACCAACTAGTAGTTATTTTAAAATATTTAAAATTTTTTTTTTTCGATCAAATTTTTATAATATTATATAAATATATATAAGTATAATAATGCTGTGATAATAATAATAATTATTTGTTTCCACTAAAAAAGGTATAGGTAACTCGGTGATTATGATTTGTGATAAACTTAGAATTATGCAACACCGTGAGTGCGATAAAATGTAATTTATTTTTAGTTTGTTAAGTTTTTAGTTAGTCATTAAACAATATTGTGATATTGGTTTACGATATTATTTTTTCAAGTCTTGTTATTTATACGTTATACTCTATATACTATCTACTGGTATTATATTATTATAAATTAATATTGAATGTTATATATTACACTACAATATAATTAAAAAAAAAAAAAAGTCCTTTGTTATAAAGTATCAATAATTGTTTCAACAGATTTATTAATTAAATCGCTTGTAATTACGAAGCAATTTATTCATATAATATCACTACATTTATAATAATGTTATGAACACAAATACTGTTTGATTTATACTTCAGGATTTATACTTTATAAACGTATTAAATTTAATTTGTACTCTACAATAATAAAATAATATCATGATTATTATTTATAAAGCTTTTGTTACACATTTCTAATGATATGATTTACAAATAATATATATATATAATTTTTTTCATCAAAAATTCTTAAATTCTTCTTATGTACGTACAGTATTATGAGCACGTTTAACATTACACTTTTAATCATAAATTATAATTGTCTATTATGAAATCGTATAACAAAAAATAAATAAATAAACAGTTTTAGAATTCTTTCGATAACCGAAACACGAGGTTTGTGTGTATCATAACCGAAAATTAAAACTATTCTGTACATTGTGCAGGGGTGGATCAAGAAAAGTTTCACGGGGAGAGGTAACATATCCATATATATACAAATAGGATATATAGTAAGTATGGTAAGTTGTAGCATTAGAAGCAAAATTAAATTTTATACGGGTAAAGGAATAAAATGACATAATATTATGATATCAAAAAATGAATAGTATTTTATTTTTAAAAAGTCCAATTTTCGTTATTTTTCTTTAGAAAATCTCTTAATTATATTTTTATGTTATTTTCACTGTCGATATTTATATCCTATTGGATATTTTATAAGAAACAACTCTATCAATTTTTTTTTCCATTTTACCCCTTAACTTCCTTAACTAAACTATTCTTCCCCTTAACCAAGTTTTAAGCATACTTAAAGAGGAAAAACTTTTTTCTGCTATTGCAACAGAAATTAGCAATGTAACTAAAATTTTAAGAAATGATTTGCGTATTGTACAGTTATTATGATCTAAATGATTTAATATTTCATGAGCAGAATTTATATTTTTAAACTCAAGATTTACTAATAAAAAACTGTTATTCATTTCACAGAAATGACCAAGACGACGTGTGACGTGATTAACGATTTTTGCTGTAATGAAGATAACAATTCATTAATTTTGTCAATAATTACAGTGCACTGTTAAATATTATCGATTAATACAATATACAACAAAATTATATCGGTGTGTGGCTTGTATGTACAAGCAATAATAACTGATTCTGTACGATTTAAATTGTTCATATTATTCTATTGGTAGATCAAAAGTTTAGGATTCTTAAATAATCAGTAAAAAATAACTGAATAGTTTTTTTTTGCCATGTATGGAAAAAAACATTTTTGGTGGATTTGGAGGGCACCCCTTTCGTCCCCTCTTGGATTCGCGCCTGATACGGCGTGTGAAGTTAAAATTATTTGAGAAAACCAACACCGTTTTTTGTGTGTATTTTTTTTTCATCATTAGATTAAATACGGAATAATATTCACGCATCACAATATTAAATAAACATATTACGTAAAGTATAAATTTCGTTAAAATCATCAGTGCACACAAAACAGAATTTTAAATTGTACTGTCAGCTGACGAAGTTAGAGATCGAATCGTATCAGTCGGTTGTTTTAGTGTGGTACGAGACGAATTTATGTACGACCAGTGCACAGCAATATATAATTGGTCGTAAGCTGCAGAACAAAACCAATGATGATAATAATAATAACATGATTTAAACACTTACACTGTTTTGAATTTGGTAACCAATCTTTCGGATGGTATGTCCTGAGGAATGAGATCTAAATTCAACGTTGTATTTGGTATGGTTCTGCTGTGCGGTAATAAATCATCGATCGGTGATTTAGTTGCAACCACGGTCAATAGCTCGGCTATTAACACCGCTAACCACAACCGCATTATCATCATCTATACAGGTTTAGGAGAAAAAAAAATGTCAGACAAAGAGCAAAAAGAGAAAAATAATGAAAACACACTTATGTATTATAATAACAAAATCTAGGTATAAACAAACATATAAAAAAAAAAAACGTTACAAAATGCGGACGGTTGTACACATATTTATTTTTCACTTTTACCTCCATGTATCACTGTAGTACGTGTATTATTTCAATATTCAGCCATCGTCTCCCTTATTAGATCGCGAGTGCGTGCGTATAGTGGGAGAGCAGAAGAGATTTCTCTCCACGCACAAAGAACAATGCGCGTCTCTCGTGAGGCATCGTCGCGCGTACTTTTCCGTGTGCGGGCGCGAGGAGCAAATATACGAACGGGTGGACGGGAGAGAGATCTAGATATTACGGGTTCGAATTTCAACTGGTCGCTAATTTTACACGGAGCGAACACGTAAAAATAAAGAAAAAACGGACAAAGACGACACGAACAAGTTTATTTACATAAAAACATAAAAAAATAAAATAAAATAAATACGCACCTATTTATATACACATAAGTAATGAAAAAATAAATAACGAAAAAATCGTATTGGAAAAAACCTATCCTGAAAGTTAGAAAGGGAAGCCACTGTTTCGAAAGAGAATAAGTGTACTATATAGTCGATAATAGTAATACACGGGCACACATGGACACGTACACGCGCTTGTGTAAACCTACACCGAGATGTTCAATTCCCTTTTTTTATTTCTTTTTTTTTTTTTTTTTGGTGAATATTTTTAAAATTTTGCAATTCCGACATAATCGTATAAACCGATAATAATATCATAACAAAATATCTTTCTGTCGTACGTCTTCTTCTCGTTGAATGAAACTGCCATATTCGCATAATTTGCATTGTAACGTTTGCGCGTTATACGTATATTTTGTTCCGATGAGATTGATTTTTTTTTTCATCATTTTTCAGTATTAATTATCGGGTAGCAGTTACTATTAGCTACCGGGTGTTCGAAAACACAATAACCCCAATGAGTGGAAGGAATAATAATTAACGCCAAGTAAATTTAATGTTAGATTTATGTACTGGAGGCAAGTCAATTTTCAACTTACAACGAACGGAGTCATCGTTAAAACGCCCAAAGGTGTACGCGAATATCGGGTTTTTTTCTTTGGATTTAATCGATACCGGTATATTTAATTATATTACCACGACTACGAATTGCTATTATGCAATGTTAGTTTACACGCGTCCCGTACACGTATTACTTGATCAGTTCATTCGCGTCATTCGGAGCGGAATACTAATATCGATCGGAATAAAACGTTACGTTCATTATTGTTCTGTGTGACAAAACGGTCGTACGTTCAGGATGACGTGTCTGCCGCGGCGGGACGATCGTACCTATGCGACGGAACTGTTGTGTTACAACGGTGAAAACCGATCGATCGAAATCATGTATCTTACTGAGAATTAACAAACGCAGGATCGGGCTGACAAATTGGAAAAAAAAAAGAATGGATAAAAAGAAGAAGGAAAAAATACGATTTTACCACAGGGCCCGCATAACAATGATCGGAATAGGGTGGTTATTGTTCGACTTTCTATTCTTTTTTGAAACACAATATAATATTATTTTTACGCGATATCACCGCAATAACGAACACGAATCACGTGTCATTCGCGTCCACAGTTGTAAACGGACGAAAAAAAAAAAAAAAAAATGAAAAATCGGGTACTACATAAACCGTTTATTTTGCATTGCACGTCCGAGGGCCGATGGAGCCGGCGCGTAACTCTGAAGGTAACGTGTACACCGAAATCTGGGTTAATATTTTTTCTTGAGTACACTTTCAACGGAACGCATGCACGCACGATCCCTGGTTGTCAGCCAATATCGAGTACGAATACGTTAGCCGTTTGCCAATTGCTCGTCTCGTCGGGCCGCAATAGTAGCAGCAACAGCATCGAACAGCAATAGACGGTCTATTTTCGTTGCGCGGAATTGTGCGGGGAAAAAAAATAAAAAATAAAACGGACTGGAGCATGCGAGAGATAAGAAGATTTGGTGGCGAGCACACGTGTATTTCAGTCTATATCTGTTGTCACATCCCCTCGTGGAATTCGTAGCCAAATATTTTGGAACTATGCCTATAAACGGTCGCCCGCGATAGGGTGATGCCGATGAACGCGTACGGAAGCGAAAATAAATCACAGGCGAGACGAGAAAAATCGACGACGGGGTCGAAAAAAATGAATAAGACAATAAGAAACGGGGGAAAAAAAACGATCGCGAAATAAAACTGTTACCGTGTCGTGTACTTACTCGATATTGTCGTACAGGATGCTGTCGCCACCGTACAGTCACCGCATGTAAATGTTGTCGAAAAGATTCGAGACGGTTTTCGTGCGATTCTAAAACGTACTGTTTCTCGTTGTTGGTTCGATAAAATCTATCTCGAACTAAATTTATAGAGATACCGATGAGTTATAAAAAAAAAAAAAAAAAAATTAAAAAAAATGTTCAACTGTGTTATTGTTTTGTAATTTAATTTTTCGTTTTCAATAAATTATTCGTTTGTTTTCCATTAAACAATTGATAATAACACAGCTATGACGTAAAAACACGATGATCAAATAAACACAAACGATCCCGGTGTAGACGAATACGACGATTTATAAATGTTTACGGTGTCGGCCGGGAGCTAACCGGCAATGGTGCGGTGAAACCAAGCCCTTATAAATCCAAACTGGAGTCTGGACTGTCGCATATGCTCTCCTCTACGACTGTTTAGAGACAATCCACCATATGCCCACCCCCCAAACCGCCTATCACGCATGCGCCATGTTACATTATTTTTTTTTCTCTTACCTTTTTTTTCATTATTATTACTATTACTATTACGGCTGATTTCGTTACTTCCCGTTGCATTTATTTCGTTCCCCGTTCTTCTCCATTACGCCGAATACATTATTGCGAATAAGTTTTTTTCTTTTTCATCATTTATTCTCGTTGTTATTATCATTTTTTATTATAATAACTATTGATTTATAACGTTTCGTTCATTACGATTTTTTGCCATTTACACATTTTACGCGTTACAATCCGATCTCGTCGTACGATCGGAAAAATAGCACGTGCCGTACGATATCCTTTACGGTTTCGCAGTGCCGGATTAAACATTCGTGGGCCCCTAGGCAATTAAAATTGTTGGCCCTACAAAATTATTTTTTGCATACATCTTTAACATTACTATCCAATAATTAAAATAAACAGTTTTAATAATAACCAACTATTATCAATAAATAAAATCATGTTTATTAAATTTTTTTATTTGCAAGAAAAATTAATTAACTATTATATTATTTTTATTTTTTTTGAAAATAATTTTATTATTTTTACTGCATATAACACCAACAATTTAATACGTATTATATTTCATAATGACTTTTGTCCCGTAAATCCGTAAATAAAATACAGGTATTATTAAATGGAAAAAAAATGTAGTTTTCCATTTTCACAGGATCCCTTAAATGTGCGAGGCCCTAAGGCGAGCGCCTACCCCGCCTAACGGGTAATCCGGCACTGATATTTCGTCAGGGTAAATATTTCTTGACCGCTGAACGTACGCACACTCGCGTGTTTGGTATGAATTACGATACGAGTGGAGTACACATATGATAATTCAATTTGTCTGTTCGACTTGTAGCAGACCGGAATGCGGACCGAGTGCTGTACCGACCTTTTGTTATAAGACACGCGTACTCGGCCGCAGTAATGACTTATACGTACCTATATCGTACACGCACGAATGTGTGTGGGTGTGTGTGTGTGTGTGTGTGAATGAGATTTTTTTTTTTTTCATCAGAACTCACGATATTAGTACAGAATCCGCAATGAGTAACGTGTGTGGCGCATGAGTTGCATGGGAATTCATCGATTTTCCACCTCTGTTTGCCTCTCGTTCTCCGTCTGCAGTTCACCGTCTCTGGCCGCTGTACAACGTAAGCCTGCCCGACGACGATTTTCTATTTTGTCCTGCCGAAAATGTCCGGGTGACGCGACGCGAAACCGGTAGACCGATGGCCGCGAGACACCCCGGGTGCGAGCGGAAAAACACGAATGTTTCCGTCGGTTGCGTGCAGCTGCTGATTCAACGATTTTCGTGCGTTTCGGAATTGTTCGAACGCGTTATCGGCGGCGGCCGTCTCGCACGATCCCGTCTTCCCGTCGAAACAGCATTCGGCAACACCACCATTACACCAGCATTAATTATTATTATTATCGACTCGCGCGTTCACACCGTTTTTTTTTTTTAATTTAATATTTTTATTTATTTTTTTTTCTCCACCCGACACGCACCCTCCGGAACCCGATGCTGTGCACTGGTGTTTCTTAATAAACTATGGTAACACGCGAAATCGTACGGTTTTTTTTTTTTTTTATTCGTATATTCTTTCCGATACGTTTTACGCCGCGTTTCCGCTGGACCGCGATACGAGCGCGCACACGCGACCGTACCCACTCGCTGCCCGACACTAAATCGCAGCACGTCGACACTGTGTTTCGGTGGTAGTTTTCCGTATGTGTGTGTGTGTGTGTGTGTGTGTGAGAGAGAGAGAGTGTAGGAGGAAATATTTTGCATTATTTTTTTTTTTTTTTTGTCCGCCAGCAGACGTACCGCCGCCGAATCCGGTCCGCGAAATTCGGACAAACTGGTATTACCTCGTTGTGTTGTATACTGTTTTCCCCTATTGATTTCAAATATTGACAAAACAATAATGGCGTAAGGTTTTTTTTTTCTTTCTTTCGGTTATTTTCTTTTTTTTTTTTATTATTGGTACACTAGTGCACACGTGCCCACGATAATATCCAACAAGTCCGCACACGTTGTTCGACGGCGCACGATAACGATAATATTTTATCAACTCAGCACTCAACGTATTCCGACTTAAATAATACAGTACCGAATAACGATAAATATCGAGCAAAGCGTTTGACGTAATAATATGTGTAAAATAGTAACTGATATTCAGTCATTTCGCCATGCGTGTAGTTAACAAATATATATTTGGAGTTAGGACCATCGGAAAAAGTTGTCTAGTAAGATGAATTCAAAAAAATAAATAATAATAATAATAATTATATATATATATATATATATATATATATATATGATTGTTTGTAGTTATAAAAAGAAAAATCAGCGAATTATTATTGGTACCCGATATTAGGTAACACTGATTATTTGACAAATTTATTTATCATTTAACGTATAAACTCAAATTAATTTCAATAAGGAACATTATTCGAAACGTTTGGAACGTTTGGGTTGTAGTTGTTTCATTGTTGATCTGTTCTAAAACTAATTTGACTTATCGGGCATATTTAAAATTTTTTTTATTGCAACTTAAAGATTGAATTCAATTGAAATGAATGGAGTTTGTGATTCGGGTTTATTTATAAAATATACAAATATCGAATTATTATTTGAATTTTTATATTGATTTTGTACATTTTAGTTTTAACATTTTTGTAAAGGCATTCTGTCATGCATTAAATTTAAATATTTCATAATAAAAAACTTTTAATAATTATTAATAATGCTGTAAGAAAGAGAACAGAGAAAAATTAGAAATAGATAGAAATAAAATTAATTTATCACATTTTATTACTTGTGTAAAAGAAAGTTTTTTTGAAACAGTTTAAAGCTAAAATAAATTTTTTTTTGAACTACTCTAGGTTTTCTATAGTTTCATCTTTGACGTTAGAAAGTAATTAAGTATTAAATTTGATTGTAAAATAAATTATGTATAGGTAATGTGTTATATTCATAGATGTATGTTTATAAAATACTATAAGTATTGCTTTACATTAGCAAATATTTTGTAATCAATAAGTATGTTGGTAATGGATATATAATAGCTCTGTAAAAATATTGTATTTCCATATCGACGACAATTGTTCTAGAACATATATTTATAACATCGCAAAGTATATTATGCGTCAATATTAAAAAATAAAATTACCGAATACTTCACTAGAACAATTGATGCATTTGTGGATGAAGTATTCGGTAATTATTTTAAGGATATTGATCAACGACATTGGTTTGGATAGTGTTGGTTTAACATCAATGAGTTTAGTTTGCTAAAATGTTGATTATTTTACTGTGGAAAAAAAAGCATCGAATTTTCATCGATTAGTAGTGCGTGTGAATTTTCAAGAATGGTACCACGAAATTCGATGGTTTTAGCTGTCTCGTCCGAGGTAGGCATTGGAAATAAATATCATTCGAATTTTCGGTTGTGAATTAGCTGGAGCGTCTCTTATTTCGGATGAAAAAAATAATATAAAATTCGATAATTGACAGTTTTTGAGAATAATAAAATATTACTCATCGATTTTATTTATTGCGGGATTCCGATAAAATAATATACGATTTTAAATTGATGATTTTGATTCCACACGGCATGCCACGTGTCATGTAGTATTTCACACCGTATAAATAGCGATAAATAACCCCGAAATGACCTTAAATTTTTAATTTGTCCAAAATATAATTTTTATTAGTTAACACTATCGTAATGGCCGGTTAATTGTTATATTCGATTGGACGTAGCTTTTGCACAGCAAAACTTATTAAATTGAAGGTATTTATTGGATTTATGTTTTATTGAATTTTTTGGCTTATGTGATTTGCGTCAAAAGTGATCGAAAAAATTAATATGTAATCAGCGTCACGACTGATAACAAGTGGTACTATGAATTTGTCAAAACTGGTTCATCATTTAGTCATTATACTTAATATGTTTATTTTATTTTATATTATATTCCGAAAAGAGTGATAATTTAAACATCATTAAAGTTAAAATTTGTAAACTTACAAGTTTACAAGTTTAATAAGATAATAAAAACAATTGTAAGTACTATCTGAAATAAAATAGTTTTTGTATCTATAAAAATCAATTTATCTATATTATAATATATGTGTTGACATGTAAATCAATTCCTAATAATAACATTTGATCGAGTATACGATCTATATTATGTGGCTCAAATTAGATTATGAGAAGATAAGAAACGGTGCACGGTGCAAAACATTTATGTAATAACATTTATTACCTGTACGCAGTACAAATTGCATGGGACATTGGTTGCACAAATTACCATTGACTAATTTTTCTACTTGTACGCGATATCATTAATGTCAAAGATCTTTCTGTTTTTCACGTTTATTATTTAAATCAGCCAATAATATAATAGTGCTAATCATACGGATTTAAAACAACAGTTTCTGGGAAACTTCTTGGCATCAGGTTATTCTGTAAAAACTGTAATGGATTACAATTTTTTTTTGTCTTCACAAATAAGTATAATGACCAAATGCTGAAACTGAATAGACGTGAGCTGATATGAGTCAGTATGAAAGTATGCAAAAAAATATCGACCGGCTTGGAATTATTCAAATTCATCTTTTTCCGGTTGGTTTTTAGAATAATTTTTTTTTCAAACAATAAAAATAAATTCGGTCAGTTGGTCTTCAGAGGAAAAAATAATAACAAAATGCATACGATGGTCTAGACACGTGATTCTAATGTGCCAAATACTGGTTTGGCAGTGTCTAGGGATTTTTCGAATACTGCAATGGGGAGACGGTGGTTCTGAATACGCGAAATAAAAAAAAAAAAAACAAATACCGGAAACTCGCAAAATTTGCGTGTATATCGTAGCATTTCGAGCGAAAACGAGTTATAAATTGCGAACCCAATAGCTTCGGGTTGCATTCGATGTGTTTTTATAATAGTGTTATAATCATAGAACCGGCTGTCCATCCAATCACCCTCACTTCACCTCGATTCCTTCCCATCTCTTTCTTACGTGCGCAGTCTGCAGTATCCTTTCCCGGTTGACTATATCTTAGCTGCGCGCAGTCTAATAAAACTTAATGCGAATTTTAAACTAATTATACGTCCGTTTAACCCGTCTTCAGATCGGTATAGCCCAAAGGTTACATATGGTCAAGACCTTGGCATCCGTGGAGCCGACGGAGCAGGAGGAAGAAAAAGAGAGAGACAAATCTAGTAATAATAAATCGGGTGTTATTTAAATCCGCTGTGTGTTCTCAATGGGTGTTTTATGCATTGATCATTTTAAGTAGCGGAAAATTGGGTGTAATTTTGTTCTCACGGTCGTTATTATTAATGCGGTGCCATAAAGTAAACAGTTTTCCGTATATTGTGTAACGCGTAGGGCAGCATATTAAATTGTAATATTTTGTGAATGACTGATATCGCGAAATCTTCGATGCAATCGGTAAAACGTTGAGTGACAGCCAAGGGTGTCGTTAATTGTTTAAGATTTAGCTAGTTGAGAGTTATCAAATTTTTAACTTGTGAGTCAACTTATCATTATATAGTAAAGATAAAAACAGTCAACCCACGAGGACAAAGTGCTTCGGTAACCTTTCGAACCTTGTTGATTGGTATACGAGTATACAAGACAGTGTAAGAAATAATATTGATTACAGTTTTGTTGAAAGTTTTCAGAGTTTAAATCGCACATTTTCCAATCAGCTGCATTTTATAATAAAGATTTCATGGTTTATAGTATGGTGGCGAACAACGCATTTTCCAGTTGCTACTTATTTCATCGTGTATTTTTTTTTTTTTTTTAAGATAATTTTTATGTTAAGCAATATTTGAACTCACTTATTTTTTGAGTAAATAAAAAGGGTAAAACAACGTTTTACCTTAACTTTAAACTAACGAACTTTTGCTTTCGGCCGTATTATTCTAACTAATTAATATATCTCGTTATGCAATTAATTTGAAATTAACTCGCCCGGAGTGCAAACAAATGGCGACGTAGTGATATTAAAATAATATCATATACATTATTGTAACGAATAAAGAATAATGAACGCTTTGAGTAAATTATATAAAGTCAAGTTAGTTTTCGATTCGTTACGTCTTCCACTCGGACACATATGACATTGTTTTATTGCTGAAAACATTATACGAAACGTTAAGTATTCATTAAGAAACCATTCCAGGACGAGTTTGATAGCACTGTACTAAGTATAGGCGCTAATATTACACTTATTATAGTATTGTATTATCACAGACAGCCGATAAGGCGAAGAACAATTAAAACAATTGATTACACGTTATATGAATGTCTAAAATACTATTATAAGTATAATACGCCAACAATGGAGGTGTGAAAACGATAGATAAACGTGTGCAACAATACTACAACAGTTTTCTATAGGGTTAATCTATAATAGAGCAACTTAAATTAATGATAATTCTAACGTACGGCGT